CAACTGGGTGACGTTGGACCAGTTACTTTCTCTCAGCCCCAGGAAGGAGACAGTGAGAAGCCACTTATTAAAAACCTTTTCAAGAAAACTTCAAGAACTTGTCCAAGCAACATCAGGGATTTGGATGCAACTAAGCAGAAGCCGGGGTGGGGGGGGGGGGGCATTACTAAATAATGTTATGATCCAGTGCACTTTCTGTTTTTTCACCAAATGGTTGAAAAGACCACATTAGAAATACTGTATATTTCAACTTCCATCTACAAGGCTTAAGTTTTTATTAGTCTCCTTCAGTGAGTCAATTTAAAATTTTCATCATCATGTTCACCATAATTTTGGCTACATAGACTTTTACCAGTTTTTGTAAGATGTGATCCATTCTGTTCTAGCAATCAGTCTTCCAGATAATTCAGACAATAGCTCCAGAAATTAAAACTCTCATGTTGACATCATTTGCATAGCAGTCATTTACTTTCAGAATTCTTTCATTTTGCATCCTATGAAAAGGTGGATGAGAACATCAATTGAAACTCCAGATTCTTGCCCTTTCTTCTTAGTCTTAGGCACCTTTGCTCCTCTTTTAAGTCTTATGGGAGAGGCCAATCATCTCCAAGTCCTACTACCGAGTCGTTCCTTTTGTTTTAACTGTTCTTACCTTCTGGCAGCTCTGCGCATGCGCGCACTGGGAACAGGCTCCCCCTGTTCCTCTGCCTCGCTGAAGTCCAACTCTGGAGGCTCTGGAGGCAGCACATACCTCCCAGATGGCCCTTTCTCTGCCTCTGATGCAGAGCCCTCGTCCGAGCCTTCCCCAGATTCCAGGACTGGCCCATGTTCCTCCCCAACCTCCTCACTGTCGGATTCTGCTGCCAGCTCCGCAGGCCGCCAGCAGACCACAACATACAGGATGTCCAAAGAGAGAAAATAGCTACATAAAAACCTTGCAAAATAATCTAGTGAGTTGTAATGTAGAATGATGATTTCCTAAGGGAAATATTAAGGAGATTGAAGTTGATTTAGCCATGCAGTTTATTAGGTGTTAATTGAGGCTATACACTTTCCTTTTTCTTTTTTCCCTTATGCGGTATTTCTGTCTCTCAGAGAACAATGTTAGATTTGCAGTATGTCATGTGCACACATATTTGGTCAGAAATTCATGTTTTCTTTGTAATTGTAATGATTTACACTTTATACATTTAAAATTTGGTATTGTAAAATATTGCAAAACTACCTGAGTCATTTGTATTTGTCTAGGGAAAAAAGGTAGGAATGGCCTACAAGCTACTATATATTAAGTAGCAATTCCCAGTTTATAAGAACATAAATTATATCTCTATGCAAATCTGGGTAGTTGGTAAATTGTTAAAGGCATTGAAAAGCAAGGAAACAACAACACCAATAAAAATAAATAAATAAAAATAAAGATGAGCAAAATGACAAAACTAGATGTGAACAATAAAATAAAACAAAAAAATAAAACAAAGGGGACTTCAATCACGCCATCAAAGGTAAAGTTGTAAACTTACTTGTATACCAAGCATCAGGTAACATCCACTATATTAACTTTAATAGTCATACAACCTGTTCAATCCTATTTTATTCTGTTTACTGTTAAGAATCTTGCCTAGGAAACCTACATATTGATTCAGAATAGTAGAAGTATGAATGTATTGCACTGTGAGTGCAGTTTTCATCTACAAAATTGATATCTGTGCATGAATCATACAATACATATATGAAATGGCCTAAATGTATATGCTCAAGATTGTCATTTGTATAGATCCATTTGGAATGAAACCTGCTTAAGGCATATTCAGAAGCAGAGGTTCAAGTTAACATTTAATTAAAATTTCCTAATGAAAAAAAAAGTACTCTTTTCGGACCCTCCAGCTAAATTGGTCTCAGTTTCCATAAACCATTTTTCAAGCAGTCATCCAACGTACTTGAATTATCCAAAATATCTGACAAAAGGTTTGTTGGATGGAGAGGGCTAATGTAAAATTCTGCTTTGGAATTTCTTTTAATAAAAAAGCAGAAGAAAATGAAATCAAATCAGTAAAAACAATAGGAGCAATTAAATGCTTTTTTAAAAATAAAAGACATTCAGTGGCTTGGACCAATCATTTTTTCTCAGCCCAACTCATTTTCCTGGGTTGTTGCTGTAAAGATAATATGAAAAGGGGGGGGGGTATATAAATCAAATATATAAAAGATATTTTAAAAAAATATTCTGCTTGTAATACCAATAGTCACACAATTCAATAGTTATTAAAAATAGAAACCTTCCTGTCACGCACTCAAAAAGTGCAAGCAAGTAGCAAAGAAAATTAAAGTTTATTAAAATAAACAGTCATACATCAAAGACACAGAGAGGAAAAAAACATAGCTTGGATGTTCAATAAAAGCCTATTAGTGTGCAAACAAAACACATCAAAAGAAACTATGAGGTCCAAGAACTTCTACTTGTTATTGCTGTGGTACAAAATTTGGCCATAGTACTAGAGATTTCCTGATCCTGATTGTTTAGTGGATAGTAGTGAGTTGCCATATGACAGGACTTTGAATTGTTTGTAATAAGACGGAAGATTAAATCTACCTCCAAGGATAATAGATTGGACAAGTACACAAACTAGTATCTCAATTTCAGATTCTGAATAAATAGATAAACACACTTGTGCTTACCATTGAGGGGAAGATACTACTGAGCACAGTATCCAGATGTGCCAGTATGAAAGCTATCCTATGATCTGGGACCAGTAAATGATACAAATATTGGGGAATGTTAAAAAGAGGACATATGAAAATACTGTGGCAGAGATTTGAAACTTTGGTTCTATATCTTTGTTAATCAAGATCTAAAATTTTCTGCTTAAGCTCTCTTCAAGTTTCATCCAAGTCTAACATAGATACAGACTCGGGGGCAAGTCACCAGTAAGCCAGTCATTCGTTATTTGTTTCTTGCAAGGAGACTGGTATCTGTCTGCCAAAACTAAGAGGGCTAAAGATTTGTATTCACCACCACCACCACCCATTCAAATTTATTTAAGATTCCTAGTGACTACCTGGACAAGTCCATGAAATTTTTGTGGCAGCATTTTCAGCAGAGGCCTTACCTTCTTCCTAGATCTAAGAAAGAGTGACTGAATTCAAAATAGCTTCATGCCAAAGGGAGGACTAGAATTTGTGATTTCCCAGTTTGTACCCTGATGTCTTAAGCCACCATGTCAAATTGGCTCTCTCAGTCAGAGTAACTAAAATCATTTTAGTACCATATGCAAACCTGAAGCAGACCCAAATTCATCTAGATAATCTACTTGGAGGTAGATTGGTAGTATCCTCTCTATTATTGTTCCTAATAAAGACAAATTTGCAAATAGTAGTAATTATCTTAAATCACACTGTTCATTAAGTTCGAAAGAGGCCAGTGAGTATAAATCTGCCATGCCTCTTATATGAAACAACCTTGATTACCCTTACTGAAGATCTGTACCAGATAACAAATTCTGAAAATGTTGCCTGTTCCTCAGCCTCCCCAAATTGTTTCCATTACATATGATCAAGGTGTTCCCATAAACTAAGCATAACTGCAATGTCTAATTTGAAGTGGATGCAAGCAGCACACTATCAGTGTTCTTTGCAAATTTATTATAGCAGTTTGCTGAGTAGCTGAGTAACTGAGTGGCTGAGTTCTTTTCTGGGATAGCTTTGAGCTGTCTGCCCAACATCTGTGAAAGGTCTATTAGGGTAAAATGCAATAGTGATAGAGAAATAAACCCTCTTTGACCCCATCCTTACTATTAGACAGACATAATTATGTAGTCTTTTGTGCTTGGGTATTTTTCTGCAAGTTTATTTGGGTTCACTCTAGACAGTTGCCACTTCTCTTTATTGTCTGGTGCTGCTCATAAAGCCATACAATTTTTTAGGCTTCTCATAGCTATGGAGGGCAGTCAGGAGCAATAGTGCCAGTGGCCCTTTTCAATTCCACACTAAAACAAGGCCTTAACAAAATTGCCATCTGTGTTGCCTGAAATATCCCTCAGATTATTTGGGGATCCCAATCCTGTGGATTACAAACTACCTAGGCAAATTATTTAAATCAGTTCGTTGATTAAGCCTTTCATCTGTATTAAGGTATAACATTTTAACTGGTTCAAGTGAGTTTATTCAACTGAGAATCATGAAATACTGAGAGATAAAGCAGTATATATCAGTATCGTGCTATTGTGGTACAGGCCTCATCTGGAGGTACTGATGTCTAGAGAACTAATCATAAGATACTGTATCTTACTCTTCCCAGGATCCTTAGTGGGCTGAATGGATGTTTCCAGAAGAAGAGATTTATTTTATAAAGATAACTGCATCTTCAGACTTCAAGGAATGTCAGAAAGAGCTGCACTTTTTGTCTAATTAAGCCTTTCCTAATGCGGTGCTTTTTAGATGTGTTGAACTGTAATTCACATAATCTCTAGTTATGCAATGTATCTTTTTGAATACTTTGACAAGAAATCTTTGTTTTTGTCAGAAGCCTGAAAGCATTCTTTATAGAGACAGCCTTTACAATCATAATTTGTTTACTTGATTGAGCTAAGTGCAATTTTGTATTCAATACATGTGAATAGATAGATAAAATAAAATACTGTTATTAATATCTAGACAATTACATCCCCAAACTTTAATCAAATATTGTTGATTCTTAAAGAGAAAGCAATACTTATGGATAATTGCTTACATGGTACTTAATAGCCATTATTCCTATGCTTTCTCTTTTAATTAAAGGAACTTTTTTAAAAAAAAAAATGAGATAATATCATACAGAGTCTGGCGCCAAATATTTTTATATTTTCTATTTTGGAGGGCAACACTATTTATTTTTTAAAACATTAATTTTGTAGACAGTGGTGGTGAGTTGAAGAAGTACTCTTTGGTTTGGTTATTTCAAGTAGCAAAATAAAAAATAGTAAAATTTTCAACCTATTTTTTCCCTCTCTCTTCTATCATTTCAGGACTATACTTTGACCATGTATTTTCAACAAGCATGGAGGGATAAGAGGCTTTCGTATAATGTAATACCTTTAAATCTTACACTGGACAATAGAGTAGCAGATCAGCTTTGGGTTCCTGATACCTACTTCCTGAATGATAAGAAGTCATTTGTACATGGTGTCACCGTGAAGAACAGAATGATTCGTTTACATCCAGATGGGACAGTTCTCTATGGTCTCAGGTCAGCATTAAACATTTTGTATGGCCGCATTCTATATATAAACCAACAGGCTAATTCTCTTTTTTCCTTTTCTTTCTCTAGTTTTTCTCTTTTTAATGTACGTTGTGTAGAATTTTGCCAGCTTTCCTCAAACTTTGTGCTCTTCAAAACAGTTGGCACTAAAGTCCCATAATCTGAATGTCATTATGGCATTTTCAGTCCAAATCTTCAGGAGGGCACTAGATTGAGGAAAGCTAATATACAGTAGGTCTTGTAACAAAACTAAATGCCTTAATCACAAACAATGCAAGTGACTTCAGTGAAGAAACATCTTACAGACATGTATAACTCTATATAAAGACCTTTGCTTAACTATTTGGGGGGGGGGAAGAACAGTATGGATTGGACGGTGATACGTCTTTTTTATTTTAAATGGTTCTTGTCACACAATAAAAAATTGCAAAACAGCAGCAGCAAACCAAAATTGATATGTAACAGCTGAAAATAGGTATTAGAATTATACTGTGGCAGAATATTGAGAATGGTTTGATGTCTGTGAATTTCAAGATAAAGAGTTCTGCAGCAAAGATGCTTTCTTGTTACAAAACAGTAATATGTATATTCATCCTTGGGATGGGAAGATTTTTTTTTTTATAAAGTGTCAAGAAAAGATTTTCTTAACTCATTCCTCTGCCTCTTCATTTGTCCCCAAATGTCCCTTACATATGTACTTCCCGATATGGTATGAAAAATGCACCTGTGGATAATTTGAAATTGAAGATTATACAAAAGCCAAGAAAATATTTAGCATTTCTTGAACCATCTTGTCTCTAAAATTTAAAACACACAGACACACACACACACACACACACACACACATTTTACAGCCAAGAATTGTGTGGATTATCAGACCTATGTTGTCACATAACACTTAAGTGAGTCACAAAATAACTCAACGTAAAATCCTTACATGAATTCACCTATATACGTTGACTTGTAAAAACAGGAAACTAAACTTTTATATATAGAAAGAACTGTCAGAAAACAGAAAACTTATTGTTTTTTGTGTTGTAATTTCTTCATGCAGTGACTTAGCATTTGACATATACATGAACTTTAATGGGTTTACGAAAGCTGGGCAAAAGAAAAAACCCTATTTTTTAATCCATCTAATCTAATCAGAAAAAAATATTGTATTAACAAGGCAGATTAAAAAATTACTCTTCTCTAAGCCTTCTCCCATCAGATTGCTGTCCAGATGTGTTACATTTCAGCAGCACAAATGCATTTCCTCTAGGAATTCTGGAAGTCTGACACATCTGAAGGACAACAAATTGCAGAAGGTTGATTTAACTCTCTAGAAGCAGTGCTATCAAAGAAGTAGCTGCTAATTTATGTGACTAATATGATCTCCTTAAGCTAAGTTAGAGAGCCAGTTTTGTTGTAGTGGTTCAGGCATCAGGCTAGAAACCAGGATACTGTAAATTTTAGTCCTGCTTTAGAATTAGATGAAACCAACTGGGTGATCTTGGGCCAATCACTTTCTGTCAGCCTTAGGTAGGAAAAGCATTAGGTAGGAAAAGCCAGTAAAATTGCAGGGACTAGTCATAGGACTCAATACTGACTTGAAGGCACACACAATACAAACAAAGTCTAATGTCAAAGCACTTCCTTGTAATATCAGTTTTATATATAAAAACTATTGTTTTTATATAAAACAATAACATTCAAAATCCCAATATTATTGCAAAGGTAAGTACTGTTGAAAACAGCATGATTTATATCAAAATAAGTTTGGAATCAGGATTTCTGCATTTAGTATTTAGATATCTTTTTCTTCCCTAAAACAATCCTTTTCAGAATTCAGCTAGAGCTTTGATATGGAATATGAATGCTATCCAAGGCAAGGGGCATTTTGACTCGGCTTTAAGAATAAGCAATTTTAAAAATTGCAATAAAATATTTTGCAATCTTGTTTTGGTGTTGGTCAGTATACAATTAGGAAGAAAAAAGTGGGAATACAATTATATGGCAATATACTGTAATTAAATTTAGGCATATATGTTTCTTCTTTACTTTCCATCTAAATGTATGAGTGACTTGCAGTTGCCCTGTATTCTGCCACATATCTATGCAAATCTCATATAATGTATAAGAATGTCAGGACACCACTTCCTTTTAATCTGCCAGCTGTATGAACAGATGGAAAGTATGTTACAAGACCAGAGGGAGATGTCAAAATTCAAACCACAGGGAAAGGAACAACATGCAGACTTTTATTTTTCTTTTACCATTATATAAAAATATACTGTAGATATTGAAAGATAGCACTAATCACCAGATTACTATTTGTTTTTAAAACAAAATGTCTTGGGATGTGCAATGAAAATAGCATGTTCTTTCAGCTTTTCTTTGCTTTGTGGGAATAAATATTTGAATACAATTTTTTTCCCAGAAAAATATCTGGTTGTTTTTTTATAGAAATAATCTGAAATCTGATTCATATTTGAGAGGAATAAATCAAAGGAACCAGTGAGATATTGAGATGGTTCTGTTATTAATATGTTCAGTTCTCTCTCGGCTCAGTTTTTATTTTTATTTAATAATTGTTATTGTATATTAATTGTTTTTTAATCTTATTGTATGCCATTCAGAGTCACTTTATCTTGAGATGGGCAGCAATTTAAATTGATATGCAAACAAATAAATAAATAATCAAATAAATAAATAAATAACTTTATATTTCTGGCAGTTTTCTTAATTGATTCAAAACAATTTAAGATACCTCATTTTTTTCACTTCTCTCAATAACTTAAACTGAGATAAAGTGGCCTGCCTGGTACTACTCAAATAGTGAGTTAAGATTCGAGTCAACAACCTCAATACTATAAACTGTAAGAATGCAGATATTATATTTTTTTCTTAACATTTGTAAATAGCTGCATGACCTCATTTATGAGTAAATTAATTTTAGTTAAAAATACCCAACTGATATATTTACTAATCACTTTCTCTTTTAGAATATTTATTTTTTTATTTAAAAATATAACATACTTAGACATCATTTGCATTTAATTCTTTGTCAGTTACTCTAAAATTAGTATTCATCTTTATGATGATGATCGCTAAACATAGTTATTCAATTTGTAGTAAGATTTACAGACCTCAGATGGAAATACATAAAATTACTGATTAAGTTAGGGGAAAATTAAATTAGCAATAAAATACAATAAAATAGTGCTGAAAGATTAAATACTCAAAACTAAATAACTAAATTATAAAACTACTTTGCAGTATACATAAAAGAAAATGCTCAGTTTTAGAAGAGTAATTATAAAATAACATAAAACTTCAAATAGAATTGTCAAATTACATTATTTGGAACAAGAATTGTCATGCTTCACTATCTGTTTCCTAGTAGTACAAGCTCTTGAAACATAATCTGGCAACTGTTCATAGTTATTATAGTCTACCAAAAAGTAGGATTTAATATAATTTCATCATAAAATTTCACCATAAAATCATTACAGCAGCATGGGGTCAAGAGAGTTATCTGCTCCTGAGTATCAGGGACAGGACTGTCTGAAAAATGAACATATTGGTACCTTTGTTCCAGTACAGTTAAAGACAGTATGTTAAAATCTTCTAGGGTAAAAACCCTATAATATTTTTCTAGTAATAAGATTCTATAGATATTTAGCCAGGACCAAAGGTTTACTTAAGTTCCCTTACCAAAAAAGGAGAAAATTCCTAACATTATCTCTCTGTTAATGAAAATCTATTACTTCCTATCTAGCAAAGTTTTAGCTTTGGGAAGTCACAAAGAATACAGGTATGTTATAAGGTAGGCCGGTATGTATAATAATTTCTCCATCATGTTCTTCCAAGTTGAATAAACATTATCTAGTGGCAGCAGTGGAGCAAGATTTTCAGAGAAGAATGTCATGTTAAGCCAGTAAGTCATCATTTCTGCTTCCACTGAACTGAGAACTACTACAATCAGAATCTTGTACTGTAGACGCACTGAGATACCCCTGAGAAAATCCTGAGGAACTTACATTGAACAGTTTCCAAAAAAGGAAAAGTATTTTTACCAACACAGCTTTGATATATTGAAAACAACTTGAACAATTAAAAGTTAACCGTGTTTTCTTCTTGCACCTATCCTATCATTTTTAAATGTATATTTTAGAGCAAATGGTATGATTAGGAAGATCTCCAAATGTCATCAGCAATCAGCTCTATAGTTCTAATACCAATATATGCCAATGCTAAAAGAAATTACTGTATACTACAATGTGTCATAGAACAATACTGAAAAGAACTTCCATACCATAATTTTCTACAGTGCCATATTTTAAAAGTGTATCAAGTGAGATTCATCTACATATGAAGAAAACAAAATTTAGAGTGCAGTCATGAAACTCAAGTGTTGTTTATTTGTAGCTACTATATTCTATGGATCTCTTCGTTTTAAGATGGAACTAATTCAATAATATTTTCCATTATAAAGAAAGGTGGTTACTTTTAATAATCACAAGTGTTATAATATTTTATAATGGGAATTGTTTGGCTAGAAAATAAAATATTGTGCCATTGACAAATGATGCTGAAATAGAGCCAATTGATATGCTCTTTTGGGGATATATTTGATGTATCCCAAAAAGAGCATATAATTACCAAGGAATCTCGGTCAGAAGAGACATTGGAGGGTGCATGGGCCTGAACCTGGGCCTGATCTGCTGACAAATGGGATCCCTCCACATCAACTTGGGAGTTAGCAGAATTTGACACCCAGGATGAGGTCCTGCACTGGAGCTCTAAGGTAATGCCCTGTTGAATGGTTTGTTGAATATAGGAAGTCAGCTCTGGTGAAATAATAACCCCATCCCTTTCTTGTTCTGGAACCTGGGAAGTACTAGCCACAGCTGGGATTGCCTGTTGCCCCAGTGATGATAAGGCCCTGGGAGGAAATGATTCTGACTGGGGCCCAAACAAAGCTTCATTGACTCCCTCCTGGC